AAACTTCGCTTCCCCAACTATATGAGGAAATCTCTCTATTCTGTTGAGAAAAATCCTCTATTCTGTTGAGGGAAATCCTTTCTCCTAATTTGTATAAATAGGAGAGGGAACATGTTAATGGATTGAAGCATTTTCATTTCTTCAATAAAGCTTCTTATCTTCTATTATTTTCATCATGATATCAGAGCAGTGAGAAAAGCGAAGTTTCACTCTTGCTTTTGGCCAGCGACCAACGTCGTTGAGAAAAGCGAAGCTTCGCCCTTGTCTTCGGCCAGTGACCAACGCCGCTACAGCCACATTCCTAAGAGGCTCCACGGCCAATCCTCATCTTCCTCACCGCGGTAGCCTTCGCTGATCTGCCAACAGTCGGTGGACTTAAGGAGAACGAAGGACGGACTTAAGGAGAACGAAGGGAACGCCTGTGTCCTCATAGCAACAGTAGCAGCGATCTGCTCTTGCCCTACTCACGAAGTCTCTCGCTTGTAAACCATTCTTTGCATCGATCCAAGATTGGTATCCTTATCAGGAGCACCATCTTGCGGGAGCATGATAGAAGATAAGATTTCCCCAACTTTATGATGAAATCTCTCTATTCTGTTGAGAAAAATCCTCTATTCTGTTGAGGGAAATTTTTTCTCCTAATTTGTATAAATAGGAGAGGGAACATGTTAATGGATTGAAGCATTTTCATTTCTTCAATAAAGCTTCTTCTCTTCTTCAATAAAGCTTCTTTAATAATTGTTCTTATCTTCTATTATTTTCATCAGTTTCTATCCTGAAGCCACCTTAAACTGGATTTCTATGGCAGCGGGTTTCCATTTGGTTTTTTGTTGAAATGCTGCAGCTCTGCCCGCGAAGACCAACGGCTACATCCGGGTGGATTGCTATGGCGGCCTCAATCAGATGAGACGCGATGTTCGTGTCATCCTCTCTATCGATTTATTGTATTCTTGATGCTTGATGAGTGAATTGGTGTTACTTTTTTTGTTGGTTGTAGTTCTGTGATGGCATTGGGATAGCTCGGATCCTAAATGCGACGCTAGTCTTGCCCAAGTTTGAGGTGGCAGCTTACTGGAATGAGTCGAGGTATGGTTGTGGAAGTGCTCAAAGAGTACACTTGATGTTATGGTGTGTAGTGAATTAGTGCTAATTGGATGTTTTCATTTTGATCAGTGGCTTCGCCGATGTGTTTGATGTAGACTACTTTATTCAACAAACGCAAGGTTTCGTGGAAGTTGTGAAAGAGTTGCCAGAGGAAATCACATCGAGAGAACCCTTTAGGGTGGACTGCAGCAAACGCAAAGGCCAATTTGATTATGTTGAAGGAGTGCTCCCTGCTCTGCTGGAACATCGCTATATATCTCTAACGCCAGCTATGAGCCAGAGAAGAGATAGGTATTTGTTTAAACCTTATGATGCAGGAAACCATATTGTTGTTTGCCTGAGTATCACTATATAAATTAGACTTGCTTGAGTCCATGCTTCTGCAGGCTGTTTAACAGCTACGTTAATTGGGTACCATATATTCAGCCTTTTAAGTTGGTAAATCACTAGAACACCATAACATTTAGATGATTTTAAGATCTCTGGAAAAAAAAAATGTTTCTCTTATGTAGACTCTTCATATCTATTTTGATAGAAATATATGTCTACCTTCTTCTATGTGTTCTCCAGCCTATATTTCATAGAACCATATACCACACATACTGCATTTTGAAGCAGCAGAAAGAAACAAAAAGAAAAAAAACATGCAGAAGGCTTTTCCACTGGATTCCTTGCAACTAAAAGCATCTTTTTAACAGCTCTATTTGCTTCTCTTCATGAAATATCATTAGTGCTTATTTTGTATCTTGCAAACCGAACTATCTGTTGACTGTGACCTACATGAAATTTTGCAACTGTGACACTGCATTTGACTGTGGAAGTACAATCATGACACTGTAATTCACTCTGATGAAAGCTTCATGCCATTACCATTCGCTTTAACAATACAATTATGAGACTCTAATTCATCTTGATGTACTTGATACTATTTGGGTGTTTGTAGCCTGCAGTGGTTACCATGAAGCTTGAGGTTCTAGGAGGTAAAAGCAGATCAGATCTGCTGGCTACTTATTTTATTTTTGTTCCTAATTGGATCTGTCTGTGGTTGTTCCTACGAGACCATATGATAGTAATGAGGTGGAAAGAATACCTACTAGAGAAGACAAAAAAAAAGTTAATTATACAGATAAGAGGCCTGATACCACTTCTATTTTTGTTTTCTTTGTGAAATTCTCGAAACCATCCACTCTTTCTTTTTGCATTGTCCCACTTCTGAATGGTATAAGGTGATTTTTGTGTTCCAGAGAGGATGTTGTTGGTATCTATTCTAATATAATTGGTGTTAGGCATTCATGTTAGATTAAATTGTGAATTCATTTGCCATTTGAAAGGATTTTTTAAATTCGTACAACAATTTAAATACTCCTAAAAGTAGAACCATGACCTAGTTTTAAAAAAGAAATATTATATGTAGAATCAAGACACAACTTTTTGATTGTAAGTCAAATATAGTCACCATATAAAGCCTGCAACAAACAAGCATAAAATCTAGGTAAAAAAAAAACTAAGCTTATGTTGGAAAGGAAAAACAATCCCTGTAGGAAGCCTTAGTAAAACATGTTTAAGATCAAGGTTTGAAATTTCGTACCATACTGGTGTATCGAGCTTTGTTCGATATGGTATGGTACGTCATATCGAGCTGTACGTTAGGGCGTACCAAGCGGTACACCTAAAAAAAAAATGTATATATAATTAATATATAAAAAAATATAAAATATCAATATATAAAAAAATAAAAACAAATATAAAAATATTTTTAAAAAGGTGTTCGTAGCCTCGACGACATCGCCTCCTCCTCCCCTTCTCCTCGTCGCCTCATCTGTAGCATTCGACAAAGAAGGCGGCGAAGACATCGAAGGCCGCATACGACTCTGGCCTTCGGCAAAGAAGAAGGCCGCAGAATTGCAGACGAGACGATGAAGGACTCTTCCACTACTCTAACCACCGCCTCCAGATCCTCCTCTTTATGACTCTCCTCGTCGTTACCTCCTGGATTAGGATCGTCGAGGGAGGGCAACGTCGGATCGGGATCGAGAAAGGGTGTGGAAACAAGTTCGTGTCGAGGTTCTCCCTCTTCTTCGAATGCCCTCTCCTTCTTCCTTCTTCGACGCTTCTCCCTTAGCCTCGCCGCAGCCAAGCCACTATATCGAGTGGACTGCTCGGTAGCGGGTGGTCCGCGTATCGGTTCACGGGCGGTACAATTCAAAATCGCTAACCTTGTTTAAGACTATATGATCTTGTTTAATTTTTGACCAAGGATTGTAGTGCAGGGTGTCAATGTCATGCCCTCAAATAGTCACCATGTGCCATGCAAAAAACTGATACATGTCAGGTTGCTGGTAGCTCATATCCTTCAATGTTATGCCTTTGGGTAAGCTGATGGCCCTTCTCAAGGGGTATATAGAGCATTTTAATAAGTCAATATCATGATAAAAGTGCATAAGCAACTCTTTTTTATGTTGGTTACCTAGTGATGATCCAATACAATAAAATAGAGTACAAAAAGCTGTAGATGGAATTTTATTTAACACCTAGATTTTCATGATGTTGTTGAAAAAGCTATGCATTATTGAAGATTAATAGCCCATGACAAACTTGGTAAAAAATTATAGCAACATCCTATAATTGCTTAATTTGGTTGCAGATATGTGATTCCTTTTATATCACAAGCTGACTTTTTCAATGAAATCAACTGTAGCTAATGAATATGCAATGTATTTCAAACAGTACTATGAGACTTGTACTGGAACCTTTTTTCTCGAAATCTGCTTCAATCGTATATATCTGGTTCGAGGTGTTTCGGAGTAACAGTGAAACACTGTGTGATTCATGCAATATCCTGTTGAGACACTGGCTAACTTTGTTAAACTATTTCATTAATTATTCATAGGAATCAGATCACATGGTCTTATTTGGCATCAGGACTATATTTTGTTCTGTTCATTTCCGATTGAGTAGAAAGTTGTGTTTTCTAATTTCCTCTGTATCTTGAAAATTGAACTCCTTTTCTGTTTTTCTATAATTCTTGTTTTAAAGGAAGTTATGCACTCAGTAGAATTATGTTGGATCTCACTGATATTGTTTTTAATTAAGGTATCCAGTATATGCTAAGGCTGCTCTTTGTCAAGGGTGTTACAATGCGCTGCGCCTTAATAAGGCCTTGGAGGCTAAAGGTTCCGAGCTCTTCAAGGCAATACCAAAACCCTTCCTCACCTTACACCTCAGATTTGAACCTGACATGGTGGCCTACAGTAAATGTGACTACCCTGGACTCTCTTCCACGTCCTTGGCTGCTATCGAAGCAGCACGAGGGGATAGAAAATCATGGACCGGTGATGCTGCACGCAGTTGGAGGAATCGTGGGAAATGCCCTCTGACTCCAAAAGAAACAGCATTTATCCTCCAATCTCTTAAAATCCCTACAAACACAACGATCTATTTGGCAGCTGGAGATGGTCTCCTCGAGATGGAAGGCTTCACATCAGTTTACACCAATGTCTACACTAAATCTTCCCTCTTAGACAGCAAAGATTTTAATCTCATGCACGGCAACACGAAAGCTGCCCTGGATTACTATGTTTCGATCAACAGCAACGCATACATTGCAACTTATTTTGGAAACATGGACAAGATGGTATCAGCAATGAGAGCAGCGAATGTACATTACAGAACATTGGCTTTGAGCAGGAGGGCTTTTGCAAATCTTACAGCACTTGGGCTGGAAGGGGTGGAGTTGGCTAATGCTTTGTGGAAGTCTCACAGAGAAGATTTTGTGATGGGGAGGGGCACTGCTTTGCCTGATTGTTTTTGTGAATCTACTTTGTGATTCTTTTCACTCATGTGCTTATGATATTTGGATCTGTAATTTTAACAAGTTCTTTTTCTTATATTTAGGACAAGAGAACATTTCAAGGCAAGTATTTTTTGCTCGTCATGGCCGGGTATCAAAATGTTCAACAACACTCAAGAAAACAGCTTTACTGAGGTATTCCTGTCATCAGTAGTGTACAAACTACAAAGTTGATACATGGGGCAGAAATCGTATCCATTTCGTTATTGGCATCAGATGTTATCATTTTCTTTTATTCGCAAACAAACATAAGTGGTAACGGTGATTTGATAATATATTAACTTGAAAATTCTATGATAGATAGTTCCATACTCTCGACGATCAAAATAGAGCATGATAATTGGAGGAGGATCATCTGATAATCTTCAGACATCTTTTTATTATTATTATTTTGCAGTGTTGAATCCATGTGAAGAAGGGAGTGATGCTTATCGATTGAAAGTAGTGCATGAACACATCAAAATGTTTTACTTCACTAGTCCCTGTTAAGGTCCTTACCCACTGCACTACGATATATATGACTGACTCATCTCCCTCCAGCTAATTTTCCATTCATACTCATCCCCACCGCCCGCCCCCATTAGGAGGACAAAGAACAAAGTGATTCGTCGGCGGCTATTAAAGCATCTATCATTCTGGAGTGGCGCCCTTTCTCCCTGAGCTTGACTTCCTACGTAAACCACAAGGAAAGGTCCCATGTCTTTTAGTGACCAAGCTTTGACAGCGTCAACATTGGGTGGTAGCTTATGGTGTTGCTAAGCCACAAGAAAAAGGTCTCGAGTATTTTATGGTTGCTGGTGTCGATTTGGAAGAAACAGAAGCTACAGGTCAGAAGAAAGCAACAGAGGAAATTAAAGTATGACAAAGACACCCATCAGGTGTGTGTGAAAATGCACTTGTGGTTTCCTTTATAAGAGCTTAAAAATCAGATTGAAATTAAAATATCATCATCCCTGCCAACAGCTGGATAATCCCACTTCAAGAGAGAGAATCAATGTAAAAAAATTATTTTAATTATTTGAACTTGATCATAGGAATAATCGTTAAACAAAGAATATGTAACTTTATTGTTAGAAAAAGAAAATATTCTTTTCATGACTCGAATTTGATCATTCAGATAAATAAATAAAAAAAAGTTAACCTTATCAAAAAAGCATGAAGCATTGGTGTCCATAGTCTTATTCTTAAAAGAAAAATCATTTATTTCTATGACAATTAATTAATTTTACCAAAACTTGTCCTCAAGTAAAGTCCCATCTAATCGAGCAAACTACTAAAAATACAAAAAATAGTATACAAAAAGCATCTCTGATCACAGCCGATGTCGACGCCTCGGTGGTCCTGATGGGAGCACAGGGTGTCCTATTTTTCTCCACTATCCTCGCTCGCTGTTCCCACCGGTGTAAAGTAGATGAAGACAGACATAGGGTGAGGAGGACAATTCATTGATCTTAGCTGACACCAAATAAGCTCTAGTGTTGTTGACAACAACAAACAAAGTGCTCTTTCTTTGATGGACACACTCCATGTTTCCAAGTCATTTATATTGAACAATTCATTTGGGGAAAGAATGCCATTACCAACAACTCGCTTTAGGATTGAACCCCACGAGAGAAGAAAACCTAAGTAATGCAACAATGGAACATGAACATTCCAATTTCCATCATCCCTTTCTAAAAAATATCGTTGTGTGCAAATTCTTTACTTATATTAAACTAATATTTCTAACAATATATGATAGAAGGGGATTAGAGTTAAATCAATAATTATATCCTCCAATGTTCAAGTCAAATCAGTCTTTTAAAAAATAACTAGAGCCAGAGTTTAACGATAAACGTATTTGTAGAGACACGACTTTTATTTAGACCAATGATAATATATTATAAATATTATAATTAAATATTTTTTAAAATGGAACAATGACTAACGAATTTTCCATCGTCATCTATATACTTTGTAAGAAAAAATGGTTAGGAATGATAATAATTTTTTTTATATATACTTATGCCTATTAAAGCTCCTTAAGACTATATGGACTAAGAAAAAAAAAATCCAAAGTTGGGTTTAGGATGAATTTGACTATATAAAAGTTAATTATATTAGTGGTCTATCTCATCATCACATAGGGATCATAATCGATTATAATGATACAAAAGTTTTAATCTTGTTAACAACTTGATGCCATAGATCGAGAGTTGATATAGTTAGATCTTATCTCAAAGACACTCAATCATCCAAGAGGATTCCCCCATGAGCGAGATAGAGAGAAAGAAGTTAAATAAGAGCAAGCGGGACAGCTCCGTAGGGGTCTCCAGGCTTCCGAGATAGTCTCAAGATAGAAGCTGGATTCAGCTCGATCTTTTGAGAATCCTGTACAATAGGTCGGTGTTTCTGACTTGACCCATCTAATGCTCGGATTAGTTTTTGATGGGAACTGTAGCATTTTTTGTAGTTCAAAATTCGATCTCCTTGAACGAGGATCAATTTTTATACCTACGAAGCTGGTGGGGTCGACTACGACCAATAGGGACCGTACGTCCTCCTATGATGCATTCATGTGGATAATTGACCATATGACCTCTTGCAATATGGGTTGACCCATACAATCTCCTATGACGCGACATCGAGTCGTACTACCTCCCACGATACGGTGCTAGCGAAGGACGATCAAGGGAGTATTGTCTACCAGCGCAGCCCTCTTCCATGTTAGGTGGATGCCCCATTGTCCTTCACGTCAGGATAACTACCGACTAACGAGAATAAATCTTATATCTATATTGACTCTATTTAATACTATTGCTGCCCGATAATATCACGACAATACATACGGTATACATAAATTTGACAAACGTATTTTTCTTTTTTACGATAATTTATCCCAAATTTAATTAAAAGATACTCAAATTTTATTGAAGCAGCTCAAATAAACCCAATTATCTAATCATCACTTGCCTAATCCTCTCTCTCATACGATCCATTTTGTCTCTACTAAGTTTAATACAATCACATTCGTTGGCATCATTACAGAATAAAAGAAAAATCTATTACGCAAACGTTAATATTCATGCCTTTGACACCTCTAGACGAAAGCTCTACGGTTAGTTGACTTTGTTCATCTTCTGGATTACTTTAACCGTCAGTTCATCTCATACTTCGATCCATGCAAAAACGCGTATAGACCGATCAATCCGACGACGGAAGACAGCCTTGGGATTTCTGTGGGCGCGTGGGACCCACCGGTACAAGGCGGCGGTGGGGCCCCGTGGAAGCGTGGGCGGTCGTGGTGGAGCCCGAAAGCAGGCCAATCGTAAGCATAAGCTTGACACCCAAGCAATTGAATCCGAAACCCCCCCCACCCCGGAATTGCCCGCCTTCTTATTAGTGACATTGACATGGGCATATGGGAGAGAGGAGCTAATCCGAAATCCGCATGCCGTTGAAAGACCAAGTCAATAGCATTAGTAGTCGCCAACTGGTAATAATACCAAAAGACCATATTTAACACAAAAACACACATCACTTTGGAAATAATATCATATATGTTTAATATGATAAGAATGAAGAAAATAATTCATACGAAATCTATTCCCTATATATACATTATATATTATGACATCTGTGATGAGTAAAACTAAATAAATACAATAGAATCATGGAATTTTCCTATTTAGTGCATTATATACATAACTGAGTCATTTATTATGAAATCATATGATTACATATTTTAATCAAAATAAGATCTGCTTTCTCAAAAATAAATATATAAGAAAAATGAGGTCCAGCAAATAAATAGCTGTCATCAAATTTCCCCATCTTTCTCCATTTAATATATATATATATATAAGACACTTGCAATGCACGTGATCTCGTCGTTAAATACCGACCCTCCGCTCGCTCATCCCCCATTCCCCCATCAGCACCTCTCCTCATCGCCAGTAAACGCTCCTTGATATGGACGGTCGAACAGGTCTCCGGCAGGCCGAGAAGGCCACGGGGAACCCCTACCCGAAGAGGGGCCAGATCAAGGCCAACATCTTCAAGCAGATCGCCTTGGCCTTCATCCCCAGCTCCGGCGACGCACAGACGCCGTCCGAGGGGGACGCTGACGCAGGTGGAGACGCCCAAAACTGTTGCGCTTAAGACAGACGGACGAACTCAGCTCCCTCTCTGCCACTCCTTTCTCTGCTGTTGCTGCTTTTATACTGCCACAGTAGAGTTTAGATGGTCAATCAATGGTGTGTTCTTTGTGTCTGCAGTGTTGTGTCTCTTTGTTGGTAAGCTTGGGGTTCTCCAGCTAGGAGACTGTAGCTGTTGCTGCTTTTAGACTGCATCAGCAGAGTTTAGATGGTCAATGGTGTGTTCTTAGTGTCTGCAGTGTGCCTGACTAAGATTAGGGGTTCTCCAGCTTTTTCTTGGTGAACACCCTCTACCTTCCTCCTTTAGCAACAGTCGTATGGGAATTGTGGTTGTGTCAACTTGGTTCATCACCAAATTGTTCCACTACTAGCTTTGGGCTAATATACTTCTGTAGTACTGAATTGTCTTTGAAATAAAGGAACAGTTTTGTGATACATCTCTTCCTCTGAAGCAATTATGGAGAAAGTTCACTTCATTTTTAACTTGATTTCTGTTGATGTCAAATTTGATCATTCATTCAGTCGGTCCGACATTCGAACATCCGATGATTGCCTCTAGGATTGAGAGTCCCGAGCTGGCAAGATAACCTTTTCCGACTTGGATGTTGATTTGGGCTCCTGATCTGTGATCTCGACTTGTGTGTTTTCTTATAAGACTTGTATCGAGAACGAGTCCTACAAAGCCACTCTGATGCTAAAATAAATCGATATGTTTGGTAGGGATAAAGTATTTAATGTCTGAGAAGATCCAAGAGAGTTAGAGAGCTTATGTCAGACTGGAGGGATCCTTATTTACAGCTGTATGATATGGTTCGAGTATATTAATAATTTTGATTCTTGCAGTTCATACTAAACATTGGTTTTCACATCGTAAAGCAAGTTGGGTGATCCATCTGAGTTCATATTAATATTGTTCCTCTTTTCAGTAGCAATTGTTCTAATATTAGCTTCAGTTTGTTCAGAAAGATCAAAGTGTCAGTTTCTTTTGGGCTTTTCCAATTTTGTAGTAAT